GGGGGGGGGGGGGCTGGTGGGGGGGGGGGGGGGGGGGGGGGGGGGGGCAGGGTCACGTGCTCACTGTGCTCTCCCATTTCCTCTCCACCCCCACCCCCCGATTCCGTCATTGTACCTTCTAGTAAATCCTGTTGGTTCCACCTTTGCCGATACAGCCCCAGTCTATGTGTTACATGTATACCTTTCAGTCACGGCACACTTTTCTTTATGTATGATTGACTTATTTATTATTCATGTGAAAATTTGGGGCAAGTGTTATTCAAATATTTAACTCTCTCTCTGTCTCTCTTCTTCTTTTATGCAAGGAGGTACAACTTCATACATGAGACCTCTTTCACAAAATTCCTAAACTTCGCAAACTTTTACGCCAAAATTTTAGTCATCATTAGTACTCACCTGTTAAAGCGATGCATTGTTCCTGATTTCTAATAAAAACTATATACCCAGTACCTACTGTTTTAGATTATTAATTACTCTATTTTATTATGTGCTGAAGAAAATATTCATCTGAGACCAACTTTCTGTCTGATGTTTTTTTAAATGAAACCAGGTTCATGAGCTATACGCACAAACCGCGCACGCACAAAAACATGACCTTGATGTGCATATATACTAGGCATTCTTCTAAAGAGAAATTATTTATGAAATTCACCTTTGGTTTAAAACGGCTGGATGAACAGCGTACCTTTACATATGTTACAAGCCAGCATATTTGTAATAAATGTTGTAGCACATGTATGTGCAGCCATGCTTTCCGACAAATCAAACTGTTATTTGTGTAATAAATGCAAAGCATAACAACCAAGTTGAAATTTTAATCAGATGATCGACCAGGTACAACGTGTCATTTGACCTTTCTTTTAAGGTCAAATAAATGGGATAAATTTTTCACGATGTGCAGTGTGTTATATTTGTAGGAACATAATGATTCATGAATCTCTCATCAGAAACCTTAGTTCCGCATCATTAACCTTGCACGAGGTCACAAGGCAATGCACTTTGTGAATTTTAAACCACTGCTAATCTCTTAGACGAGATGATTAATTAAGCATTTATAATTGAGAAGTTAGTCCATTTACTAAGGTCAAGGTCACGTATTTGGAAAACAATTTTAAAGACGTGAAATGTTTTAGTTAGCTTTGTGCGCGGATGCACATCCTACATGCGGGCTTCTCGTCCCTGAGCATAAAAATGACAAGCTTGCGTTTATTCGCGAGTCATCGACTCTCATTAACATGCCCCTATTAAAAAGCAAAACTAATGTTTACTTTGTTTTTATATACATAATGTTTTTCAACTTTATTAGTCATCACGATCATCATGTAAAAGCCGTAGCAGCTCTTAATTACAGTTCATTACAACGTTATATCTCCAGCAGGGGGAAACCGCTTATAATGTGTATATAATGTGACTGTACTTATGACATGTAGTTATCGCCTTTTTGTCAACTACTTATTATAGATCTATATAAGTAAATTTTAATTTAAAACTCTTATTTCAAAAAAAAAAAAAAAAAAAAAAAAAGATAACATGAGCAGAAAATGGCTGGATTTTATCACACTTATCAGTTAATTGCTTATGTTAAAGCACCTACATGCTCAGTCGCAAGTACATGTACTTCTAGGCACTAGTAGGCAATTTGATTTTAACAAACCGCATATAAAACTGCGGCCATTGTCTCAAAGCGTATGAATATACACCATACATTTTTGCACATTTGTGTGTATAATAATGTATATGTAGTGTATGTACGATGTCGGCGTGTGTGTCTGCTTGCTTGCACATTGTCACACCCCTCAACTTCGTCATTTCTTTGTCCTGGTATACAGTATGGCAAATGATGCCTGGATAATTCTACCAGAAGGAATAGTTTTATTGTTTTAAATAAGAACATTGGTTTATTCTTAGCTTTAAGTGAGATATATGCAGTAGGTAGGCTATTACACATGATCACCAAGGCAACAGTGTATTGGGCTACAAAATAAACTGTTTTAATGTTCATAATATTTTTTTCATGATTTATTTTTATAATAAGTATAATATAGCGACATGAAGTCGTTTTTCCATAAAATATGAATGATTTCATATCTCTCTCTTACGCCTATATCCCTTTATTCCCAAATGACAAATCAAACTAAAACCTCTCTCGATTGAAATTAGAACAAGTCATGATTAGAAGGGGAATGGCGTTTTTCAACGTATAATTGATAATCTAACTAACAAGGGAAATAGGGATCAATCATTTTCTGGAGCAACCGTCGCCTCTCGCGTTGATTATAAAAGTGATTGTCACAATTTACAAGAACCGTTTGGTTACCCAGGAGAAGGACCACTTTTAACT